AAGCATCACTGTATAATTCAAAACCACCTTCCGAATCAGGAAGTACTAACACCGGAGTTGTTGTCAATTTTTCCTTAAGATTTTGGAAACATTCTTCGCATTCCTGCGTCCAAATAAATGGAGTATCCTTTCGGGTCAAATGGGTTAATGGCAAAACCATTGCAGAAAATCCATTTATAAATTTCCAGTAATAATCGGCCAAACCCAGAAAACTCCTTACTTCAGTTACAGTCTTGGGTCTCTCCCAATCAATAACTGCCTCTATCTTACTCGGATCAACCGCCACTCCATCAGCAGAAATGACGTGACCCAAGAATTGAACTTGAGAAAGCCAAAATTCACATTTTGAAGGCTTTGCATACAACTGTTTCTCTCTAAGAATTTGCAACACAGTTCTCAAGTGATCCACATGCTCTTCCTTACTCTTGGAATATATCAGGATATCATCAATAAACATAATCACGAATTGATCCAGAAACGGCTTAAAAATGCGATTCTTATAATCCATAAACACCGCCGGAGCATTAGTGAGTCTAAATGGAATTACCTGGTACTCATAATGTCTGTATCTAGATCGGAAAGAAGTCTTCGAAATATCTTCCTGCTTAATTCGGATCTGATGATAACCCGACCTCAAATCGATTTTTGAAAAGACACAAGCACCCCTTAACTGATCAAGCAAATCATCTATGCGAGGGAGAGGATACTTGTTCTTAATAGTAACCTTATTCAACTGACGGTAATCAGTGCATAATCTCATGCTACTGTCTTTCTTCTTAACAAATATAACCGGTGCTCCCCATGGGGACACACTTGGTCTGATAAACTGCTTAGCCGAAAGCTTCTCAATATGCTTCTTTAACTCGGCTAATTCCGGTGGTGACATCCGATATGGAGCCAGAGAGATAGGCCCCACACCAGGCAATAGATCAATCGTGAACTCAATCTCTCTATGAGGCGGAAGTTGCGGAATATCATCTGGAAACACATCCACAAACTCCTTCACCATGGAAATATTGTCGATCTCCTTATGACTTCCACCCACTAAACCCCCCACAAAGACATATCACAATGCCTCGGCCCTCAAAGCCTTTCTAACCTGTAACACAGATAGATATGGGGAAGAACTAGTAGCAGAATCATCAGCAGAAAGCACAATCCTTTTTCCACAGCAGTCTATCATAGCACAGTTCTCGACAACCAGTCCATTCCCAAGATAACTTGAAGGCTGATCATAGGTAAGCAAATAAAATCCAGCACGTAATCTCGGCCTTCATACTTAAATTCAACATCTTTACATAAAACGGATGTATAACACTTCTCTCCAGTAACAGTCACCACTTTCATAGGAGGAGAAATGTCTTACATTTGTAAGTTTAACCCAACGGCCATAAAATCAGACATGCATGAGTGTGTAGCTCCTGAGTCAAACAAGACCTTAATATCCATATTATCAATATAAATTATACCTTTCACAAGGTTTGGAGCCTTTTCTGATTGTTGACGGTCCACGGTGTATGCACTACCAACCGAGACAGGAACAACAGTGGCTTGAACTGCCATAGTCCTCACTTCATTCTGAGGACACTGCCTAGAATAGTGGCCGGATCTTCCACACTTATAACAAATAACTTCACCTGTAGCACACGGACCTCTATATTCTTTTCCACATCCTCTACACTTGGGAGGAGGTCCTCTATCAACAAGGTTCTTTTGAGTTCCGGGCTTCTTGAATAAATCGAGTAGATTGTTCACACTTAGCTTCTTACCCTTCATCTTCTTATTCTTCCAATAATTGGAGCCAGTTGCTCTATTTGCATTAGGTGCCTGGGCCTTAGAAGGCTTCTTGGTTTTGGACACATTGTATACTTCTTCTACCTTTCGGCACTGATTCACAAATCTGCTAAATTCTCGGATGTCACAATTTGACATCTTCCGAGACATCTTCTCATTCAGACCCCATTGAAACTTGGAGGTCATCTCAGCTGGAGTAGGTAGGGCTCTCCCATAGTTGGCGTACTTCACCAATTCATTGAACTTGGCAAAGTATTGGTCGATTGACATCGACCCTTGCTTCAGATCATTGTATTCATTTTGTTTCTTCTCCCTAGCCTCCCTGGGGAAGTAGTTGTCTAAGAACAACGTCTCGAACAACCCTAGGTGATTTCCCGGCCTTCAACTTCTAATGGTTGCACTGTATTCATCCACCAATCTTCAGCTTCACCTTCCAGCATATACACAGAGTAGACCAACTTCAACGTATCAGGGCATCTCATCACCCTAAAGATCTTCTCCATAGATTGGAGCCATTTTGCTGCCACCAGTGGATGATAGCCTCCATTAAAAGAAAGAGGTTTGTGTTTTCTGAAAGCCGTCAATCTCCTTTCTTCAGCTTCATGTTCATCGACACGCTCTACACGTGGTTGACGAACCTCGATGTGATGACTATGACTACCAGAATGGTGACTAGCCTCACCATCATTATTATCCGCTTCATCCTCTTCCTGTAGAATAGGTGGAGTAGGCGTGGCAGTGTGAGGAGGAGGAGTGGGTTGCAGGTTCTCAGGTCTAGCACCCCTCAATGTCCTCAACTCATTCATCATCGCGGCCATAACATTCAGTGTATCTTCATTCGTCTTCATCAATGTTTCATTAGCCTAGCGACTCGCAGCCAACTCCCTTTGCATGGCTGCCATAGTGGCCGCCACAGGATCTGACTGTACATCTGTTGCCCCACGACCACTTCAGGGCCTAACTAAAGCAGCCAAAACAGGTTCTGGCTGAGCATTGACATTCGATGGTCCAGGGTTATTCCGGTTCCTCGTCATGACACTACAAATGTTACACAAAGAAATGAGTTGATCAGGCCCACACTCTGTGATCACAAATGCAATAATCATAAAGATTACCAAAACAACTATAAAGCATTAAACACCAAGCATATATAACAATAATCCACAAATTTCCCTACAAAACTGCTCTGATACCATTAAATGTAACACCCCGTTCTAGAACCGGTTTGTTAACATTGCTTTATGATATTAAGCGCAGTTACAATCACATTGGTTCAATTAAAAACCCGGATAATTTGTTTGTTTTCCTTTTTAACAACGCCAAGTTTGAAATAACCAATTGCGTGACCATAACTTATTACTTTGCGGAATAATCAAAACTAAACTTAACATCATATCATTATTCTGTTCGAGTTCAATACTAAACTCTCTTCGCCTTTTATTAAATTGGAATTTATATACTTACTTTTATGGTCTCTAAATACCTCATACAAAGACCCATTTCTATAGAAAACCTAGAAATTACTCTTCAACAAAAACTCAAATAAAACTAGGATTTATTAACACTAACTCACCTAGAATCACCCAAGGAAGAGATTCCAAGCATCACTTCTAGCAATGGACTCCTCCAAGACACCCAATCAACAATGGGTCACCACTTTCTCAAGGGATTTTCTCTCCACACACCTGGTTTCTCAAGATTTTGGCTTATGGTTTACACTCACAAGGAAAAACTAAGCATCTTTGCTTCATAACATCAAGTGCTTCAAAATTGGTTTTATAATCACATATGCATAACTCTCTTTTTTGGAAACTGATCATAATTACCTCTTTGAGGCGAATCAGAACCCCCCCGGTATACCCACGGGTTCGACTCTTTGAGCCGCCTATGGGACTAATCCAGAGTTCGGGTGCGAGTCCAAGGATTACGGTACTTATGCCCCTCCCAAATGGTGTCGGTGAGATTTGAACCGAGGTCCTCTCTCACCACTCAGTCCCCATGCTACCAACTGAGCCACCACACTTGGGTACATATGCATAACTCTAATTCCAAATGAAGAAGATAATTTTTAAACCATTGGTCAAACTCAAGAGCAGGAACTAGAGGTGTTAACAGGTCGAGTCGAGCTGAGCTTTGGTCTTAAAAGGCTAAGCCCGTATTTAAATATGTCAGCGTGACCTAACCTGTTACTTGTTATGAATATAATTATCATCGGCCTATGGCCTGTCTTAATTACAAAAAATAAAAGCCTGGTTTAGCCTGTTTAAAAAAAAAAAATAAGACAACAAATATTTATTCAAAGAGAATATACAATCAACAACATTAGTAATTCCAAAATATTCATAAATTCAATGTATATCCAAACATCATAATATAGAACAAAATTATTCAAAAAGTCTATTTAACCAATAAAATGGGGTGAAATTGATTGAGGAGAGAGAGGAGGCTATTACAAATAGTATAAAAAATATAAAATAAAAATAAAAATTAATATACTAGGTCAGCCTGAGAGGCTCCAAGGCCGAGCTTTTGAATTGGAGCCTGAGACATTTTTATTAAACGAGCTTTTATACAAGTAAAGCCTGGTTCCAATAACCAATTTCAAACATGTAAGTTCAGGCCTTCACGAGCCGAGCCAAAGGCCCCTGGTTTATTTACCACCCCTAGCAGGAATGAGAAAATGCTAATGCGTGAAGGGTTAGTATAACTTTAGCTATGTGGAAAGTTGTTGCTTAGTAATTTTGAATGGTTGTTAAAAGTTATATTATATTTTACTGATTGAGAAAATTATATTAGGTTTTATTTTTTTTATTAATATCATTGCATTTCGATGTTATTTTTTTTATTGACTCTTATAATTTTGAATGTTTGTTAAAAATTCATATGATTTTTTAAAATTTTATAAATTCATATTATCTTTTCAAATGTTATAAATTCTATTAAAATTATTTAAAATCAAATCTTAAGAAATCTTAATGGTAAAAAAAATCTTTTAACAAAATCTTTAAATTTCTCAAATTCTAAATAATCTTTTAAAATCTATAAAAATATTTTTTTAAAAAAATCTTTTAAAATCATAATTGAACAGACTGTCCCTCAATTTAGAATCCAAATCTACATTACCTGACCAATTTCAACGTGTTCGGGTTTTATTTCGGTACAAAAGCATCCAAAAAACGACCCGATTGAGTTTCGTTCGGGCTTTACTCATTCATTTTTTCCTTTGCTGCGACCGCATGAGGACCTGATAGACTCTCTCAAGCTACAACACCACAAAATTCTTCTCTCTCACTCGCTCTATTTGGCTTTTGTTTATTTTGGTGTGAAATCTCTCAGAAATCGTTTCCACTGATTTTCTTCCCAAACAAAGAGGAGTCGATTTGTTTTTAGGTTTGGATTTAGGTTTAGGTTTAGGTTTTGGTTTCATTTTGAACAAATACATAAATAGAAAGTATGTATTCTGATCGAGTGGAGACAGGAGCTAGGAGGTCAGTGAAGGAACGCCTTAATGGGAATCTTTTCACTGACTCTAATCGCCAACGCAAAATCATCGGAAAGAGGTTCTTTTATTATTCTTATCATTATCATTATTAATATTATTATTATTCTTATTTTTGTAACCCCATGTTTTTTTTGCTTGAACGATTTTCACTATGAAAAAAAAATGAATTTTGGGTTGTGGGTATGCTTAATGTTGGTGGATTTGGCATTTTTCAGATGGGTAGGGTAGCTTTTATGTTAATGGTCTCTTGATCTTCCTGTGATGGTTGTGAAGGGGTTTAGGTACATGGGGTGGGTTGAGTTTATCTTTGTGAATATCCCTGTCTAGTGGTAGGAAAGAAATTGGGGTGATAAGGCTTCATGTTTCAGGTTTATGTTGGTGTTTGTGTAAGGGGGAGAAAATGCAACAGAAAATAAATGTAGACAGCAATCGCAATTTCTGAATATATATGCACTCCTTATTTTGGGGATACTGCTATCAAGTAATAGCGGAAGGTATAAGTACAGTTATTTGCAGAAAAAAAAAACACTAATATGGGAGGAAGGAGGAGGTAGAGGAAGAAGAAAAACCCTCAGGACTAGTAACTCTACTCCCTTCTCATTTCTCTCTCTTGGATATAATCTTCCCGATTTCCCTTCCGCACATACTCTTATGATGATGTACTGGCTGATATTGAGGATTGATTTTAATCAGAGGATTATTGGGTTCACATTGTCAGAATGACTTTGACTATTTAACTGGTGCAAGGATATTTGATTGAATTTAGCATTTTACTATTGTATTGTGTGATTGAATACTTTGTGTGTGGAGTTTTAGTGATGGTCTGTGTAGATATTTTGTACCCTACAACTGTGAATTAAATCATGTAATGAGCATGATTGTTCAAAATCATGGCTCTATTTGGAGAATCGTACGTTTTTATGCATCAGGAAGGTGGAGAGATCCTGATTACTGAACACACTCGTTTCTGCTTGGATTGTCCTTGGATTATGTGTCAGCATGTAGAATTAGAGTGATATTACGGGCATGCCAAATCCACCTTAGCCCCAAAATACACTTGAATGAGCAGCCAAATTTTGGAAAATTCCCACCCAAACCCGGAAGATACCAACCTCAATCTATTCCAAACCAAAAATTCCTAATCCAGTTGCTGCTGTGACCTTCTCACAACTGAAATCTTTGATTAAAATCTGATATTTCTCTGTCTGTAACTGGCAATGATTTGCTAGCACGGTGAAATGATGCCAGACCTTGCTGTAACTGAATTATGAGATTAGAACCAATTATGCCAGACCATGCTGTAACTGCTGGGATGCCTTTGACCTCTTCTGTAGTGTGCGTTAGTATGTTGGTATCAGCATGGGGATGGGATGTCAGAGATGAGATAAACCGAATTAGTAAAACGCACAGTTTTGGTTTTAACTGTCTTCCTTCTTTATTCCCTGAGATTCAAGCCAACAGGCCACAAAAGTTAGCCCAAATTAATTACTATACTAAATATGAACATAAAAATACGCTGACGTTGAAGATTTATAATTAAAATAAGAACTCAAAATAAAAAGACACCTACTATGAATTTTTAATCAGGTTTAGTTAATTGTTAGTTGTGTTGTTAAAGGTAGTTTTGCCTGTTTTCTTATTTTTATATGTATACATATAGTTAATACAATTTTATATTAAATCTTTTGCTCATTGTTATGATATCATGTTTTATATGCCAACTCCTGCTGTCCGATCCAAGGTAGGATCTATGAGTTTGACATTCTTGGAAATGAACATACTTGTTGGATTAATTCTCAGTCATATGCTGAGTTATTTCTGTTTCAGTTGTATTTAGTATGTTCTTTTGATTGTGTAGCACTGTGTTCCTCCTATGTGGCAAGTTCATCTTGGATGTTTAAACGCTTATAGAAACAAAAGACTTGATGATGTATTCCAAGTCATGCTTTTTGCAGGCAGAGGGAAGACGACAAGTGGGAACATGATCTCTATGAGGATGATGAACCCCGGCTCTCTAGTATGGATTGATTATGTTATTCTCATATGCAAGTATAAGTTGCTGCTCTTGTTGGATGCCGATAGTTCATTTTCTGGGTTTTGATTGTGTGTTAATACTTTTGAAGATCGCAAGGTCACTGCTCAAGATCTTCGCATGAAGCTTCAAAAGAAAGGTTTTCACCCTGGAACTCAAACTGGAAAGAGTTATGTTTCAAGTGGGAGGGATCTCCGTGAAAGGCTATCAGGCACGATGACTCCACAACCTAAAAACTCTGACCCACCAAAGTCAAAAGTGGCTGTGAAACCTAGCAGTAAAAATGTCAGCGTTGAGGCTCCTGCAGTATATATCAAAAGACCAGCTAATACATCTCCTAAAAAGTTTTCCCGAAAGGTATTATAGTTCTCATATATATATATTTTTAAATTAATAATTCAGGATTTTGTTTATTGTAATTGCTGTCTGGCAGGGATGTCAGTCCTAGTGCATGTCATGTTCTGTCATATCCTTTTCCTCTGCATTGACCATTGTATTGGCTATTAAACTAGTCATGACTTTACTTTTAAAAAAAAAACTGGGGATGCCTGCATTAGTAATTTTAAATACATTACTACTGTGATATATAATATACATGGGTCGTCTTTATATTAATGAACCGAACTAACATCTTTTTGGGTGTTTTGGGAGGCTGAGGACTTTATTTGTGGTCATCAAGAGGGTTGTTCATGTTTTAATTTTACCAGACTTATATTGTGTTGGCAAATTTCTTGCCTTGCTTAGTGTAAGGTTAACAAAATGGACATGGATATGGGATTTTCTGCCTGAGTCTTTATATATGCTGAATTCATCCTTGTAAAAAAGAAAGGTTGCATCACACTTGAAGCTTAGTCAGTGGAGAATTTTGTCCTATTTTGATGTTAGTAATACTTTAATTTATACAGCATTTTTGCAAAAATATGTTGCCTTATGCTTATAATAAGAATCAAGCCATAAAGATGGTAGGGCTATAATTGAAGCATATGTAGGATTTAAATTTTTGAAATGGGTAGCAAGTAGTACTTATTATTTTTTTGGGGGTTACATGTAGTTAAATTCTTATTAGGCTGCTGGATTCATAGAGGAGCATTATAATTTCAAATATTAAGGTAGGACGATAATGCATGACATAGGGATCAAATATAGTTAAATATTGGGTTTCTGTTTGGGCTGTTGTAGATGAGTCCTGTATTACTGTTTATGATATTTTAATGATACAGTAGAATGAACAGTACTCATCTACAGTGGCCTAAACAACAAGCCATCATTCAGTTATGATTGGCTCTCTTTGTCTTTATTAGATGAGCATTTAATATATAGACAATAAATGAATAGAATGAAGATTTAGGTTTTGGAGATCGTCAAGGACTAACTATCCTAGAAGCTTAAGTTGTTAGGTAGATTGTTACGACTCTGGATTTGGAAAAGGGAAATTGAATGGGGAATAGGGGAAAGATTGAAGATGAAAAGGAAAATCTTTGTTGATTATGGATACAAGGAACACAAGAGCTATGCTCTTCACAAGGGAGAATTCCCCTTCACAACAAGAGATTTCTCAGTCTATTCTACTATTCAATTCCAATTCATACGATGCCTATGACCGATGCCCTGATATAGTATCTAAACTCTTCTCCAAAAACCCAAAAGCCCATAACCATCTAACTATCTAACTAACAAGTCTAACTATCTTTACATGACATGATTGTCTATTTTAGGTAATCATAAATGCCCCTAACTAAAGGTTGTAACGATGCCGCCCCTTCGAAGCAACCTTGCCCTCAAGGTTGAGATTGAGCAATTGTCCTTTGATCATGATTACAACCTTCCAAGTCATAGCCTTCTTGCCATATCTGTGCGTAACTATGCCAGAACTTGAATGGAAAATGAGAAGAATGGTTGCCGAGAATAATAGCACTTCAAGCCCAAAGGGCTCTTGTGTGAGGGAGTGTGTAGAGAATAATATAAATCATTAAAAAAAGCCCTCACCTAACATCTTAAGGTTTTGGGTTGAAGTGGTTTTTTACAAGTATATCTTTGAAATGAAGGGGGGGTCGGCAATGTGCTCCATCAGTTTCATGATAGGTAATGGCCGGTATGGTGAGACACAACATATAAAAGAAATTGAAAATAAGAAAAAGAACACATTTTGAGTTATAAATGTGCAGAGGTGATGATGATTGAATAGATGGGCAGTAACATGACAAATAATGGTTGGGAATGTGGTTACTCAATATCTGTACGAAGGTAACTTTGGCTGAGGGTGAGATGAAGATTGAAATAAGATAGTTTCGCTATGTATTATGGAGCTGTCAATGGTCTATTAAGTATTACCGAGAGAAGTGGAGAATACGAAATATGATTGAGAGAGCAATAACTATGTGATAGAAAAGTCAGGAAGGAGCATGCAAGATGATATTAGAGGATTGATTCTTTTTGTTTTTTTGAGGATTCTTCATACCCTTTGGGTGGGACTAGTCCTCACTCGGGGGTCAAGCTTACACTTATAGGAAAACCATGTAAGAACAAAAAAGAGTTAATAACTTGCATCCTTCCTGCCCTTTATATCCGACAAACATTTCAACCAAAAAATTGATTATTCCTGGTACAAATATTTGTAAAGAAAGACAACTTTCTGTCCTTTTGTGACTGTTCTACTGCACAAATAACAATACAAATTCATTATAGCGTATTTATTTATTTATTTTGAAATATCTAATAATTGTACATGTAGAATATTCTAGATTATCATTTATCATTTATTGCTTTCTTGCTATCTGTGCCCTTATTTACTAGTGTCTCTTGTTATTGTAAATAAGTCTCTTAGGTTACTGTTGCTATTTATTAGTATAGCTCTTTGTACTCAATATAAAAAGGACCTATTGGGTCTCTCGATGAATTAAGAAAATTGTGTTATTCAGAAATACACTTCTTCTTTTCTTCATGGTATCAAAAGCTGGTTATATTCTAGTCTCTTCCCCGTTCTAAATTTTTTTAAAGTTTTTTCCCTATTCCTTTTCGTTTTTTTGCCACTGCCAAGGTCAGAATCATTACCTAGACACCTCCAACCAAGAAACCAAGGCCACCATTAGGTTCAGAACAAAATTCCGAGCCAGCCAACAAAAGACCCGTCGCCGGAAACGCCCCCACGCGCTGCCACGCGCCGCCACCATCCTTCAGCTTCGTCGGCGCGTGTGATCCACGCGCCACCCTCCCATCATTTTTTTCCGACGAGTCATACCCCGTTCTGATCGTCTGTCTTTCCTCTTCCTGTGTTGAGGGTCAAAATTGTATTTGGAGGAACTTTTTTTCTGGGTACTGTTGTTAGCAAGCCATGGACACTGAAAATGTTGAAATCTCATCTGGAATTTCGTTCGGAACCTCATCCCTTCCCATTTCTTCGTCTTCTGGAGACAACCCAGCAATGCAGATCACCAATCACCGTTTAAACGGTAGGAACTATGTGCAATGGTGTCAATCTGTTAAGCTGTTTATCCAGGCTAAAGGGAAGATGGGGTATCTGGACGGAAAAAAGGTTCAACCAGCAGAACATGAACCTGGCTATGATGCTTGGGTGACTGAAAATGCTTTGGTCATGACATGGCTGACTAATTCTATGGATCCAGACAGTCAAACTTATTTATTCCTTGATACGGCTCAAGAAACTTGGGAAGCTGTTAAAGAATACTACTCTGACCTGGGCAATGCCTCTCAGGCTTTTGAACTCAACACCAAGATGAGAGATTTACGCCAAGGAGGGATGACTGTTACTGAATATCTCCTTGCTCTAAAAACATTGTGGCAAGAGTTGGATCTTTATGATAAAGCAGACCTTCAAGGTTTAGACGCTAATGCAATATTCAAAAATTATATAGAGAAAAAGCGTCTCTATGATTTTCTTGCTGGCCTTAATTCTGATCTAGATGATGTTCGTGGAAGAATTTTTGGGCAAAACCCATTACCTTCCATTGCTACTGCCTTTTCTGAGGTACGAAGGGAGGAGCTTCGCCGAAAGGTAATGTTGGGTGATAAGGACTCTAAGTCCTTTGATGGGTCTGCCTTTATAGCAAAGAATACTGTTCGTCCTTCTGGGGACTCAAAACATTCTGACTGTTGGTGTTCTCATTGCAATAAGGGTTGTCACACCCGTGAAAAATGTTGGGAAATTCATGGCAAACCACCAAACTCGAAATCAAAAAGACAGAACAAGAATCGTGCTAATCAAGTATCTTCTGAAGATAAGGGGGATGGGTCTCATGTCCCTTCAAACCCTGATGGTGTTTTCCTCTCTAAGGCCCAGTATGAGCAATTTCAGAAATTGATGTCTCAACCTGCTGAGGCAACTAGTCATGTTGCTCAAAAAGGTATAACATTCCATGTTGAACGTAGTAATCGTTGGATCCTTGATTCAGGAGCCTCTGATCACATGACAGGTAATGCTACCTTATTTTTCTCCTTTACCCGTTACTATCACCCGTCACGAATAAGAACAGCTGATGGAAATTTCTCCACTATTGCGGGCAAGGGATCCATTAAACTTTCTGAGCATATTATTTTGAATTCAGTCCTTCATGTTCCCTCTCTTACTTGTAACCTCATCTCTGTTAGCAAACTTACTGCTGAGTTGCATTGTATTGCTAAGTTCTCTGCAAATGCTTGTATCTTTCAGGAGCAGGACTCGGGGATAATATGATTGGCAGTGCTAGAGAGGAAGAAGGGCTCTACTATTTGGAAGAGGATCTTTGTGAAAAGAGGATTTTTTCGAAACACTCTCTATGTTTATCAGATGATTGTAATGATGTTTTGTTATGGCATCGTAGGTTAGGGCACCCAAATTTTGTTTATCTTCAGAAGTTATTCCCTAACTTATTTATCAATAAAAAGCCAACTTCCTTTCTTTGTGATATTTGTCAGCTTGCAAAGCATTCTTGTGTCACTTATTCTCCTAAGAAATACCATGAATCTTCTCCCTTTACATTGATTCATAGTGATATTTGGGGACCTGCTCGTGAAAAAAATGTCTCGGGTGCTCGTTGGTTTATTACTTTCATTGGTGATCATTCTAGGGTATGTTGGGTATTTCTCTTTAAAGATAAGTCTGATGCGACATCCACTTTTAAAAACTTTCATGCTATGATTCAAACTCAATTCCAGACCCCTATCAAAATTCTGCGAACAGACAATGGCACTGAATATTTTAATTCTGTTCTTGGAGATTACCTAAACCAGCATGGAATTATTCATCAAAGTTCTTGTCCTAACACCCCTCAACAAAATGGGGTGGCTGAAAGGAAAAATAGACATCTAATTGTAGTTGCTCGAGCTCTCTTATTCACGATACATGTCCCTAAATATCTATGGGGGGAAGCCGTCTTGACAGCCTCTTATCTCATTAATCGGATTCCTTCTCGGGTACTAAATTTTCATTCTCCTTTATCTTGTCTTACTAAATCTTTTTTCTCTTTCAGTGCTCTTTCTTCTCTTCCTCCCAAAATATTTGGCTGTGTGGTTTTTGTACATATTCCTCCTCATCAAAGGTCCAAACTTGACCCTAAATGTATTAGATGTGTCTTCATAGGATATTCCCCTAATCAAAAAAGCTATAAGTGTTACTCACTTTCTCTCCGTAAGGTCATTGTTTCCATGGATGTTATCTTTTATGAGACACAATCCTTTTTTTCCCCAACTTCTCTTCAGGGGGAGTCTACTGGTATGGATGAAGATAAGATTGGGAAACCAAATGAAGATAAGACTGGGAAACCAAATGAAGCTGCTGTCTTACCTTGGCCTTTGGAAACATGGGGAGTTATTTGGAAGGAAACAGGGGGAGCAACTATATTTGAGTCTAATGATCCTCCTTGTGATCCTCCTGGTAAATGGGAAAAATTCTACAGCAGGCACAAAACACATCAAGAGACTCTAGACTGCCAGGATCCTGACTCGAGTCCTTGCTCCAGCAACCCACTTGAATGCACAGCCAACATTGCTATGCCCATTGCTCTCCGAAAATGTACTAGATCTTGCACTGCTCATCCTATTTCCCATTATATCTCATATGAGAAGTTATCTCCAGGTTTTCGTGCTTTCAACACTATGTTAGATTGTACCAGGATACCCAAAAATATCCAAGAAGCACTTGATGACCCAAAATGGAGGAACACAATATTAGAAGAAATGGATGCACTTATAAAAAATGAAACATGGGAGTTTGTGACATTACCTAAAGGAAAGAAAACTGTTGGCTGCAAATTGGTGTTCACAATAAAATTTAATGCAGACAATAGCATCAATAGGTATAAGGCCAGATTAGTTGCTAAGGGATTTACTCAGACTCATGGGATAGATTATCAGGAGACATTTGCTCCTGTTGCCGAGCTTAACACTATCTGCGTTCTGCTATCTCTTGCCTCCAACCTTGATTGGCCATTGCAACAGTTAGATGTTAAGAATGCCTTCTTGAATGGTGATCTACAGGAGGATGTTTACATGGATCCACCTCCTGGTTTTGAAAAAGGGGATGGTTTTGTGTGCAAGTTGCAGAAGTCTCTCTATGGACTTAAACAATCTCCCAGAGAATGGTTTGGGAAATTTACTCAAGCTGTTAAGGGAAGAGGGTTCACCCAAGCTCAGACTGATCACACTTTATTCTTTAAACACTCTGACAAAGGTAGAATTGCTATTCTCATCGTTTATGTTGATGACATAATTGTCACTGGCAATGATAGCGAGGAGATAACCTCTTTAAAAAAATGTTTAGCTGACCAGTTTGAACTAAAAGATCTTGGATCTCTCAAATATTTCCTTGGCATGGAAGTTGCTAGAAGTAAGGAAGGAATTTCTTTAACTCAGAAAAAATACATTCTAGATCTGTTGCAAGAAACAAGTATGCTTGGGTGCAAGCCGGCAGAGACTCCAATTGAAGCTAATATCAAGATGGGAGTTGAGGACAGGGAAGAGGGAGCAGTACCAGAGACTAGTGGGGAAATTAATCTATTTGTCTCACACTCGTCCTGATATTACTGTTGCTGTGAGCATGGTTAGCCAATTCATGCATTCTCCTAAGGAAAAACACCTTAGTGCTGTTTATAGAATTTTGAAGTACCTCAAAAACACCCTTGGTCAGGAATTCTCTTTAAAAAGGGGAACAAAAGGATGATTGAAATTTATACAGATGCAGACTGGGCTGGCTCTGAAATGGACCGAAGATCTATTTCAGGATATTGTACTTATGTCTGGGGAAACCTTGTGACCGGGAGAAGTAAGAAACAAACTGTTGTTGCAAGAAGCAGTGCATAAGCGGAATTTCGGGCTTTAGCCCATGGTATTTGCGAAGGAATTTGGTTAAGAAGGCTTCTGGAAGAGTTGAAGATCTCTTATTCCCTACCTATCAGATTATATTGTGATAATAAAGCTGCTGCCAGCATTGCTCAAAATCCTGTTCATCATGACAGAACAAAACATGTGGAAGTCGATCGTCACTTTATCAAAGAAAAATTAGAAGACGGTAGTGTATGCTTGTCATATATACCTACCAAGGAACAAACGACAGATATTCTCACCAAAGGATTACATAAGCCGACCTTTGAGGATTTGATCAGCAAGTTGGGAATGATCAATATATATCTCCCAACTTGTGGGGGAGTGTAGAATATTCTAGATTATCATTTATCATTTATTGCTTCCTTGCTATCTGTGCCCTTATTTACTAGTGTCTCTTGTTATTGTAAATAAGTCTCTTAGGTTACCGTTGCAATTCATTAGTATAGCTCTTTGTACTCAATATAAAAAGGACCTATTGGGTCTCTCAATGAATTAAGAAAATTGTGTTATTCAGAAATACACTTCTTCTTTTCTTCAGTACATGATATGGGGAATCTATTCTGGATATTTGTATTTCTGAGGCATATAAATCTAGCAATAACAAATTGTCATCTATTTTACCAAGCTTGGTAGCAGTTCAATATAATTTTGTGGAAATGAATATTTTTTATTTGAAATAATATCCAGCCGTGGGCTACATGTATAGATATTTTAAACTAAGGGGAGAATGAATTGAGTACCAGGGAGAATACGATAGTGACAGTTTTACATATTATGAATTGTCAATCTGCTCGGCAACGTGGTACTGCTGGCTGGCTTTAATAATGCTAATTATAAAACATTTGCTGTAGTTACACCGACAATGGTATTTGATACTGAAAGATGAAAGTGGGTGAGGTGTTGGTTGTGTATGTGATCTAAACAAAATGGTTGACTAATGAGATATATCCAATGGGGGTAGTTTGTATCTTAATAATCCTGGATATAAATCTCTTTAATGTGTTTAATCATTTAATTTTTCCTTCTTTTTTTTTTTTTATCTTTATTTTGATTTCGTATCAGATTTTCTCCTTACATAGATGAAACTGCACTAGTTTATGTTCATATATGCAAAAAGTGAGTCAGTTCTGTGAAATGTTATTCCTGCAAAAAGTGTTTATCCTTTAAAATGACATAACTTGTATTCTTTCACTCTCACAAAGAAGTGGGACCCACACCTTTATTTTTTTTGTCAACTCTCTCTCCTCCTTTATCTATCTCTTTCTCTTTCTTAAAATAACATAACTTTACATCATTTAAAATGACACACATTTTACCCTATTTTGCTATGTAATGCTTTTCTTTATTAAAATAAAGGAAAATTAATGGGATATGAATCCTGGCTCTTGCTTTGCAGGCTGACACCTCAGTGGATGAATTTTTGCAGTCCTTGGGTCTCGAAAAGTATCTCATAAGTTTTCAGGCTGAAGAGGTATGCCATACATCTATTTATCTTTTCCCTCCCCCCATGGACTAAAGTTCAATATTGTAACTAAATTTTAATTTTACCAGAGTTAATATTTACGTGTAAAAGCTATTTCTTCAGGTTGATATGACAGCTCTCAATCATATGACTGATGAGGATCTCAAGGCCATGGGCATACCAATGGTACGCATCATCAAGGCTTGGCCTTGTTTATATAACAATATATATACTGTTATTTTCCTATTGCAATAAGAGTGCAGACTCCTTACTCGGTTACTCCTATTATTTCCTAAACTCTTCCACCCTATTTTTCTTCTGCCAAGCTTGCTCTTAGTTTTGATATAGTAATTAATAATTCCTTCTTTGTTTAATAATCCCATTCTGATTATGCTTTGTTAATTTCAGGGGCCGAGAAAGAAGATACTTTTGGCCTTGGAGTCAAATGGCTGACATTCTAGTATTGTATTATTATTAATATTACTCTTGATATAACATATATTAGTAGGCTTATGTTTAAACTTTAGATTGATCAAGTTTGCTTGTAATTTATTTGTTTGATCCCTTTGGTGCTTTTATTACCATTTTCAATCTTGCTTTCTCCTTTACATTGCTAAAGTGACCTAAACAAGCTATTGATATTTACAAGATAAAATTCGAGCTTGAGAGCAAGAAAATTAATTGATAGAATTTATTGCGTGGCTGGAAGGACCTGTATTTTTGGATGGATCAGCATCTTAAAACGAAGAGTGACAGCTTAGCTGTTTTGAATACCTTCTTTTTTCTTTTTTATTTCCCAAAATTATTTAGGCACAAATCAGTACGGCATTACCCTCTTTTAGTCTTTACCAAATAGAATATGTACTGGATTCATTTAACTCCACTTTTGTAATGCGATAATAGGAAGAGGGGAGAGTGGGTGATACTTTTCAACCCCCCGAGTTTGGGACCAAAGGCAAAATCAAACATGGATCAACTTGTTGCAACTTGCGTGCTATAAAGCCATATTTTTAACTTTAAGAGATTCATAGTAGTTTTGGTTTCATTATGTGGTGTAGAGTTTCTCTAGTCAATCAAGTGACAAACTCCATCTGATATGTATAATATGGTTAAGTATGGGACAAACTAGTTTGCCATTGCATTTCTTGCAAGTGGTAGTTAGGATAGCTTCTTTCTACGAAATGCCATTTGGGAATCTGAAATCCAACAATACCAAATTAAAATAGGATAATACTTTTCTTATGTTGCATAAGAAAAATATTATCTTTTACTCAAACAATAAATAAAAGAGAGAAGAGTTGGAGGTGAGAGAAAAAAAATCTTCTAGGATTCATTTAAAAAATGTGAGTGTAGGAGATAATATTTTTCTTTTACAACATAAAAAAAATATTACTCATTAAAATATTATGCTTTGTTTTGGACAAAGCAATCGTTTCCGATTTGTTGCTGGGTTACTTAGCTTTTACTTGAATAAAGATGCCACCCCAACAAAAGGAATGCTTCCTCCTACAAAAGGATAGTCTTTGCTTGCTTTAACAAAATGCTTTTTAACTATATCATTCAAAATGTGCGATAATATCATATATTATTTAGTGTTAATCATGTTTAGTGTGTTGTCAGATTATTGGAAGTTCAAATTTTAATGTAATAGCCAAAGGTCATTGATATGATATAATAAATATGGAAAAAGTTGAATGGTTTGACGGACGCAACATGTATCCAATTGTATGAGCGATCCGTTAACATGCTTATAAGATTTGGCAAAATTATACTTCCTCATAACTCTCCACAAATGGTTTTTGTGTGAATTGCAAATTATCAATTTTAACTTCTAGCTTTCGACTATTCGTTTAAAGTTTAAATTTTAGCAATTCATTTATTTGAACTATAAACATTCTTATTATTATTATTGCGTAAGTTTCGTACGAATTTACTTCTCAATTTTAGGTATTTAGCTTAGGGAGGAAAAATAAACATAATGTTATGCTCAGCGTTAACATTGTAACGGAGACCTATAAAAATAATGAATTATTAAATGTTCAGAGTTTATCTGTATAATTTGATGACACTAAATCTAATAGTAATCTTTTACAGCCTTGTAGGCTTGAAGAATGAGTTTTTTTTTTTGGAAAGATGAAGAATGAATTATCGATAATGGTAACAGTTCATCTTGCTTGCCATTGCATAAATTGGGCCATTAATGATTATTATTTTGGCAGTGACTAAAGTACTGATTCTTAAGTCTTAAAAAAAGAAAGAAAAAAAGTACTGATTCATAGAAATGCAAACAAAAGATCTGTATGCCCATGCCACTGCACCATTAATTATTATTTTTTGGCAATGACTAAAGTTCCGATTAATAAAAATGCAAACTAAGATCTGCATGCCCATACCATTGCATAAATTGGGCTTTTTCACCTTTTTACCCCTTATTAATTAATTAATAACCATTTTGCTCCTGATTCGAAACTATTTATCAATCTGCCCCTCTTTAGTCGACTACCTTGCATTTTTAATCGACTAAATGACCAAAACAGACAAAAAATGACTGCTGGGAGATTTAGTCGACTAAATCTCCCTATTTAGTCGACTAAATCTTCATATTTTACAAAAAAAAAAATAAGTCAGTATGATTTTAATCGATTAAGTAGAGAGATTTAGTCGATTAAATCTCCCAACAACCGTTTAGTCGATTAAAAATGCAAGGTAGTCGATTAAAGAGGGGCAGATTGGTAGATAGTTTCGAATCAGGGGCAAAATAGTTATTAATTAATTAATAAGGGGCAAAAGGGTGAAAAAGCCGCATAAATTGGCCCATTAATGATTATTATTTTGGCATTGACTAAAATATCGATTCATAAAAGTGCATACCCATGCTATTGCATAAGTATTGTAATCTTTGGACTCGCAACTGAATTCTGGACTCGCAACTGAATTCTGGATTAGTCTCATGCGACTCAAAGAGTCGAACCCGTGGAGATACCGGGAGGTTCTGATTCGCCTCAAAAAAATAATTAAGATCAGTTTCAAAAAAAAAAAAAAAAGTATCAATTCATAAAATTGTAAACTAAGATCTGCCTGGCTATGCCATTGCATAAATTGGACCATTAATGGTTATTAATTTGGCATTGACTGAAGTATCCATTTATAGAAGTGCAAACTAAGATGCATACCCATGCTATTGCATAAATTGGACCACTAATGATTATTATATCGGCATCGACTAAAGTACCCATTCATATAAATTGGGCCATTAATGACATTCATACATCTTTTACTATGAATAAGCATAATAATACCACAAAACAGACTATTTAAACTCTTAGCATATTCCTCATTAATTCATAATATAACAGTTGACAGCTACCCTGTAAATGTTCTGTTTGCAAATTCCTCATTAATTCATAATAATATAACACATGTAACTTCAGAGTAATGTTAGGAAACTGGCTTAGTACATAAATTTGCCGCTCATGAATTGTCAAAAGCATAACATTTTTTGCCAACTTCTAACGTACTATTGACCACTGAGCAAACTTATTATATATATATAGAGGGGGTAACAATCTTTGCTGGTTGTGTATTAGAACAAGCTCAACCAGGGATATTATATTGTATGCAATGGGTAGCATAGAACTAGTTGAGAAAGTTGTAATTGTTCCTGAGAAACCAACACTCTCTAAGAGAATGTTCTTGTCAAATATTGACCTGTCCCTTGTTGTTTACCAAGACTCTGCCTCCTTTTTTGATCCTCCAACTAGCCAAATGAGCTTTTCTGAGATTTGTAGCAAATTATACAGTGCACTTAGAAAAATGCTTGTGCATTATGACTTTATGGCTGGCAGGCTAGTGCCAAGTTTGGAGGAGAATCATCGGTTTGAAATAGACTGTAATGATGATGGTATTGTGGTTGCTGCTGCAAAAACTGCTAAGAAATTGGGTGACTTTGGTGTTATTTCTGCACCTAATCCAGAGCTAAGGGAACTAGTTGTTTTCTTACATGAAGAGGGTGAAGAAGAAACTGACCTGAAAGAAAAGCCCCTTGTATCCTTACAGGTTAATGTTCACTTCAGTTCTTTTAAACTCTATTGCTTCTGTGATTGCACCAGGTCATAAATACATAAAATTGATTTTAAATCACTTTGTGTGTGCTGCTGCAGCCTGTATGTTCATGTTACAAATATTTCATTTAATTGATCCACTCATGAGGTTCTTATAAATCCACTTAATCTATATATATAATTTTTTTTTATTTCTCCATCTTTATGGTTAAATGCAAAAGTATTGGGTAACAAATTTTTCTAGACTCACAGAATGGGCCCTCAAGCCCGTAGAGATTATGGGCTTGATAAACCCCTTATAAATAAGGGGATTCGATCGGTCATGTTGCACGAAGAGAGATGGGGTTCCTGTAGACACAAAATCTTGTGGGATCAACCACTTTAATAAAAAAAGAAAACAGAAAAAAGCTTGCATTTCCTTATAAATAAAGGGTTAAATCTCATATGTAATTCTAATGAAATCCTAGCCTCCTTATTGCCACTGTACAAACATACCATCTTCGTTGGTTTCAAGCCTCTTCTCTAATACACGGTGATCTGCCATCACCTGCGATTGCCTCCTACATTAATTACGATATGCTTGGATCAAACACACCCTTCAGTTTAAACCCACACAACTTTGGCTTTTTTTTGTTCCCTTGCCCCCCAAATAATTTTAATCAAGGATACATAAAATAAGTGCTCAAAGTTAATTACTTTATTTATTGCTTATGACAGCTAACACAGTTTGGATGTGGAAGTTTGGCACTTGCTTCTCACTACAACCATTGCACAATGGATGGGATATCAGTAAGAGATTTTGAGGTGAATTTGGCTGCATTAACTCGTGGTGATGACCTCATTATAGTACCTAATGCAGATAGGACACTGCTAAGAGCTAGAAACCCTCCAATGATAAGTCATCCACATTTTGAGTATTCAAAATCTTCTGACACAGAGAACTTGTTCACTATCCGTGGTACAAGGGGCACAAATGTTAGACAATACATGGCAGATAATCAAATTCATGTGCTTTATTTATCACCACAACAAATTGCCAGCTTAAAAAAGAAAGCTCTAAAGGATAGCAACTTAAAGAACAGCACCACTTTTCAGGTTGTTGCTGCAAAAATATGGAAGGCAAGAAGTATTGCAACAAAGATGCCAAAGGATAAAGTATCCACAATGTTGTTCCCAGTAGATGTTAGGAAAAGGATTGTTCCTGAACTTCCAAATGGGTTTGCAGGTAATGCATTGGTTCCTGGCTTTGCAAGAGCAAATGTGAGGGAGCTCATGGAATTAGAAGATGCTTGTCACGTAAGGAAAGTGCAAGAAGGGATTGAAAGATTGGATGATGAGTACATTAATTCAGGTATAGATTGGTTAGAGGTGAATAAAGGGGTGCCTTGCAATAATGATAGTTTCTCCTTGGTTGCATGGTGGAGATTGGGGCTAGAGGAGCAACTTTTTGCATGGGGTAAACTAAAATGTGCCACTCCACTTGCAGTTAAGCCTGGTTTGGTC